TGGGAATGACTTTTTTTCATGTCAGGAATTATTTGAGAAACTGCAAGTCACTTCTGGTGTGAGAGAATTGGCTGTCTGCAAGGACTTTGCCCAGGGGACACCCGGATGTTTTAATGTTTTACCATCCTTGTGGGAGGCTTCTCTCATGCCCCCACGTGGGGAGTTGGAGCTGACAGAGGAAGCTCATCCACACTCTCACCGGATTCGAACCTAAGACCTGTCTGTCTTCAGTCCTGCCAGCACAAGGTTTAACCCATTGTGCCACTGGGAGCTCCTCATTGGAAGTGGCTAAGGACTATAAAAGGGGGGAAACCCAACCTGTTTTCTCATCTGCTACCTTACCCAAAGTAAACTGGCAGAGTTTCAGAGGTGGTAGATCTTCCATTAACTTACCCATATCTTCCCAGTACATTTATCTGATCAGTTTAATAAGGGAAATATGTGTTGATAGAAAATTTAAAAATAATTATTTAAATTTGCATTTATGCTGGAATTTTAGGGGAGCAGATTTTATTTGCAAAGTCAATGCCATCATTCTCGCCCTGCCCCAATAGTTGCACCCCTAAGAGTTTCTCCTGTCTTGTAATTTTCTAAAGATGCAACTCCTCTCTATACTGTTGATGTGGCATTTCATTTCATCCTAATTCATTGCAACACTTATCCCTAGAACTTAAAACCCATACATTTGCTTGAACTTAGCATTTATAATAGTATTATGAGCTTAGATGGCCTCCTAGTGGTCACATGACAGGTCATTCCAGAATTACACACACTAGACTTCATATAGAGTGTTTTCACTCCAATGGCACTTCCTTTCAAGAAATATTATTTCCCATCATAGCTAACCACAAGCTATTCAGTAGATGAGATCTATTGGCTACATGACAACTATGCTGTGTACTCAACCATTTCCCATGCACTTACAGCATTTTAGAGCTGAACATGAAGACTATATTCTTCACATCCTGCTGACTGCAAAACAACTGCATGCATAACACTTTTAAACTGTTGATATTTTGTGTACTGACTTGGGCCAAAAACGCCACTATACGAAATCATGATTTTGCCATCACAACCTGATCCCATGAAAAGCCTTACCTCACAAAAAAGCCCCCAACAAAAACGTAACCTTAAATGTGTAGATGGCAGAGATTCCCCAAATTTGGGATATGTCACAAATGCAAATATTGGTGCGAATACAGGACTAGTCAAAGTTATAAAGAAAAGGCTGCATAACATCTCAAATCTTTGTATAAACTTCCAGAGAACTTTCTATGCATGAATAGAAGTCTCTGGAGACAGGGACTGAACAGATTGCCTCACCAGGATGCAGAGCCGGCACTAGGTAATTTTCAATGGTAAGCAAACAGTATTTTGGCGCCCCTCCCCAACCAATCATTGATATATATTTTCTGTTTGTCATGGGAGTTCTGTGTGCCATATTTGGTTCAATTCCATCATTGGTGGAGTTCAGAATGCTCTTTGATTTTAGGTGAACTATATATCCCAGTAACGACAACTCGCATATGTCAAGGTCTATTTTCCCCCAAGAGCACCTCTGGGCAAAATCAATTATACTGCGAATGCTTACTTTGCGTAATGGGTTGAGCCGCCCCTGCAAGGATGCCACTGATTGATGGACAGCAAGCAGGTCTTCTGTGATGTTATAGACTCCCTGAGCAGGTGAAAAGGCAAGTTGAAGATACCTCCTGTATTGCAGCATCCGCAAAGGCTGACATCCTTTTTGTTAGTAATGATGCCTTAAGTTAGACTTAAAACTGTATACTATTGATACCATTGTCACAATTGTAAATGTCCCTGAAATCAACCTACAAAGCCAGTCTTCAACTCTGTTGAACAGGACTCTGCAGAATGCCATGACCAGCCCCTTCTCCTAGTGAACAAGTGAGAGGAATGGAAATGGGATTCCTATGGGATGCTTTCACACCTTCATCACACCATTAGTTACTGGTGGGAGGGAGCTAGTCACAGTATAACATCATTGGGATGTTCAATTGGCTTTTAGTTGGTTTTCAGGGATCAAATCAGGCAGTGGAGCAATATTATACCCGTACTCTTGTGCAGGATATTTGCCTACATTTTAAAATCCTAACACAATCCCATATATTAGCATTTTGCCTACAGAGCACTGAAATTAAAAGTATTAAGGCTGCTATCATATGTTTTTTATAAGAGGATCCTAGCAGATTTAGGATCCCTTGGATTTGGCACCCTCTGTGATGTGGAAGCCAGCTGTCTTTGGAAAAGTTTGTCTTTTGAAAAGGAGGAGGGAGCAAGCTTGTTTTCTGCAGCCTGGAGACTGGGATGCAGTACAATGGCTTCAAACTACAGGAAAGGAGATTCCATCTGAACATTAGGAATAACTTCCTGACTGAGAGAGCCATTCAGCAGTGGATCTCTCTGCCCTGGACTGTGGTGGGGGCTTCTTCTCTGGAAGCTTTTATCTGAGGCTGGGTGGCCATCTCTCAGGGGTGCTTTGAATGCAATTTTCCTGGTTTTGGGCAGGGAATTGGATGGCCCACGAGGTCTCTTCCAACTCTATGATATCTGTATTCATAACACACCTCTGAATTGCCATGCACATTACAATAGGCTTTTGCTACTCCAATTTAAGCAGCAACAATGTTCTGTGATAATGTTGCCTCTTAGTAATAAGATGGCTCCTCTGCAGTTGAGGAATATTTCCCAGTAATTGTTTTTGGCAAGTAACTTTGTTGGTTGCTGGCCCCACAGAAAAAACCACATACACATTACACAATCCAACAAAAACATTCTTGGTGTCTTGGTTTTTAGGCCTGTTTCTGGGGTTGTTTTGGGTGCTGATTCAAAAATTTACATTGGAGATATCTGATCAGCTTTAGTTTTAGTTACGGTTATCATGGTGTTATGGGTGAGCATATGGCATCTAGTACATGGGATATGTTCTATATTTAAAAAACCAGAGCTGGTAAGGGGAAAGTGGAGCCATTTTTGGAATCAGCAGATCAAACATACCAAGAAACAGATCTAACATTTCAGGCACCGAAATGTGTGTTGGGCAGTGTTATACCATAGCCTCACTGATGAGTTTGCCCATTAATTTTTATTTATTTATTTCGGGCTTTTATATCCCATCCTATCTCAATCTCCGAAGAGGGACTCAGGGACATCATGACATTTTGTAAGCCAACATTACTCTGGTCTTCTCTAACTTGATAACCTTCAATGTTTTTGATTACAACTCCTATTATCCCCAGGTGAAAAACTGGCAAAACTACACATGATGGAATGGATGTCCCCATCAGGACTGGAACTGCCATGAGTCTGATCCAATTAAGCTAAAAGCAAGGGCAGAATGGATTTGTACTTTGTTAGTGGCAGTCATATGCTTTCCCCATTAGCACATTCAGTCAATCAGTGGTCACAAATGTTGGGATTTGTAGGTCAAAACATCTGTAGGGAACCAAATTGAGAAAGGCTGCTATATATAGATGGTGACTCATGATACAACCAAACCTTGTTCTTTAATTCAAGATTCTCCTTGGGAATGAAACAAATGTACTGATTTCTCATGCATTAAATACTAAATGACGCACAGTGTTTTACACTGTGATCTGAAGTATATGTGAACAAACCTTCAGAGATTCTTTTGCAATTTTTTTCAGTGTAGAGCCCTTTCTTTCTGGACTCTGAAGCCTGTCTTGGGCATCTGTTGTAGAGTGTAGATTAAGGCTGCTTGAAGCATAGTAGAAAGATTAAAAACATTTCTAATACACAAAGCTTGATTTGAGTCCTAATTTCAGAGGAAGGAACTGGCAAAATACCTCTGAGTATTCTTTGCTTTAGTAAACACTATGAAATTCATTATTTTGGCAAAAATAGACAGAAGACTTGAAGGCACACACACACAATTCTTTCTTAAAACATAGAAAAAGAAAACATATAAAACTTTATTGAAATATGAATGACAAAAGAACTCACCTCAGTATTTATCAAATTAGAAATACTTAGATTTTGGATTGTCATTGTATTCTTAAAAATAAAAATGGCAAGTAACACTAGAAATTCCTAGAGATTATTTTCCATTTTTGGGATTTTTATTTTATGAGCCTAGTCCAGTAGGTGAGTACATGCAATTGTTAACTTCTGCACAATGAAATTTTTTTGAGACCTATCAGTTGTTGGTTTCTTAAACCTGCAAGGATAGTCTGTTTTTTCTACATGAAAGTATGGCATGGAAATAATATTTATGGTAGGTAAAACAGGAAGCTCCACAAACACAACCTTGCCATCTCTAATGGTAATACTGTTACAATAATAAAATTTAACCAGCATCTATTACTAAATTACTATTAAGGCCAGATATTCTAAATACCTTAAAGGCACCAGATCCTGTCCAATATTGGAAGCTAAGCATTGTCACCCCTGGTTAGAATTTGGATGGGAGATACTGTCAACAAATACCAGGTACTGTGGGCTATATTAAAAAGGAAAGAACTAGCAAAACTATCTTTGAGAATTTCTTGCCTAAGCAAACCCTATGACATTAATGAAGTCAACATAAATCAAGAAACGTCTTGAAGGTGCATACACACATTCTCACGCAAAATATTATTTTTTGCTAGAATCAGCTTCTTTTGAAGTTTCTAGATTATTTAGTATTTTGCTATTTACTACAGTTCCTATCCAGAGATGAGAAAATTCTACTGGTTCTCTCTCTGCTCCCCTATTTCTTTCTCTTTTTCTGTTATCACTGTTGTTATCTATATTTCCATCAAAACCAAACAATCCAACGATCTCATTTTGTCTTGGACTCTTCTAAAATTAGTAAGCAAGCATATACATATGTTGTCCCTCTCCATATGTCTCTTGCATGCACATTCCCCCTCTGGCACTTTGAGCTTGACTGACTCTCATGCACTACTGTAAACTCATGGCGTATTTATGCTCAACAATTCAAAAATAATAGGAATAAAAAATTGAATGTATAAAAGCACGTATTCTTGTTTGGTAGAGTTTTATTCCATTGTGGCACGAGATATAATTTAAAGACGTCACTGGATAAGTAACTGCGTCAAAATTAAGACAAGTGTATTTATAAGAAGATTACAGACAGATCTTTTCCTTGTGAAGGGAGGAAAAAACTTTGAAGTAGCAACATATTGCCATCTGCTGGCCCAAAACACTTTTGCAGTTAAGCTATGACTTGCACTGAAACAACTCTTTAAAAAGACAGTATTACACTTTTAATATGATTTCTTCTGGAATTTTTATGTGGGATCCTACAAATACTTGTTCAATGTACAACAAGGGGTAGTCCTCTTTAATTCTGACTGATTTGAGATTTCAGAAAGAAATGACTTATTTTAGTTACTAATTTGGATTCCAGTTTGCTTTAAAACTATGTATTTATAAATATATATTATATATTGTGTATACAAAATTGCATTAGTTCTGGAATGGCAAAAAGATCTTTGGGATTTCTTGATTTCTTTTTTTTTTTAGGCACGGCCTTGCTTCTGAAGGATTAACTGAAATTGCTTTCTAATAGTCTAATATATATATATATTATCATATTGCATCAAATCTTAACATATTGCATCAATTTTTAACTTTTATTTGCAGTTCTGCCTCTAACTTGCTCACTATAAAATATATGGCTTTGAATGTTTCCATTCCACATTAGTGTTCTTCATAGTGAAAATATATGTCTCCCACAAACAGGTTAGTTTAAAAGCACAGAAACCAGCTTGTGCACTTCAAAGAGAGCCTCAATACATATTGTGGTAATATTACTAAGTGCGGTGATTAAAATAATTCTTTCTTTTAAAAAAGCAGTCAAAAGTTGTTTTCTCTTGCATATGAAAATACCATTGTACAAAAAAAGAAGACTTTTTGCAGAATATACAATCATCTGAACGGCAGATACATAAATACATTTTAGCAACATCAAGGCTGCAGATTTTATCATACACGCAGCTTATATTTTACAGAGTGGTTAGGCCTTGAATTGTTATCGCATTTTTACTTCTTATGACAATTACAAGCCAGAACAAAATTCATAAATTTTACAGTGCTACTAAAAAAATTATAAAGTGATCATAGTTTTTTTGTTGAAAAAAAATCCAAACAAATGGCATATTATCTGCTTGGTATAAAACAAAGCTAGAATTCAGTCCCCGGTCCCATTCTTTCTTTGGCTGTGAAAAAGCAATGTCACTCCAAGTGGGATCTTCCACTCATACTAGTGTTTCAGGGAGAGAGTCTGGATTATCGGGTGATAAAATTTCCCAGATTTGCCATCGATCCCTTTGCCAGTCATGCCAGTCTGGCTCTGACAAATGCTTATTGTTCTGCTCGCTCTCTGGGATGGAAGCCCTCCTCTCTTTTTGGTCTTGTTGCTCCTCACATAGGGCTGCCTGCTCAGGCACTTGAGTCATTATTCTTGCTCCTATGGTCCCTGAATGGGAATCTGGCCTCCGAAGCCTCCACAATGGATTCTCAGTTGGAGAGGCAATGGCCTGCAAGGTGCAAGTTGGCTTTGCTTTGTCCGGATAAGGTGGTGGTGGCCTGTCTCGACACATTACTTCAGCTTGCCTCAAGTACAAGGGTTTCCCCATGTTATGCAAACAAGCTGCATCTGAGTCTTGTTCTGTAAGGTGTTCTGTGTTTCCCGCAGAGAAATGCTGCTCTGGATTGGACTGGCTAGAATTCCTTCTGCTGACCTCCATTTGTGGGGTGCTGCAAACCCGAGAGAGGGGGGGATGTGGACGACATTCAGGAAGGGCGGCTGCAGTCTGGCTCCTTCGGATGGCTTGCCTCCCGTGATCTAATTCTGTGTTGCTCCCTCGCCACTGGGATGAAGGCAGTGACAGGTTCCCTTGAGAAAGAGAGCACTGGCCTGGCCGTAGCGAGCTGCTTTCAAAGATGTCTCCATGGGACCCTGAAGGATGATAATCAGTAATGAGGCATGTATGTAGTTTTAGACAGCTAGAATGGTACATTTTGAATAGTTAATGAACCTGAGACCCCCATGTACACTGACCATTTAATACAATTCAAAGATAGCTTCACACTGCTGCAGACAGAAAACAAAATCTCACAAAATTATGCAAAAGAAAGCCTTCAATACACATCAGTGCTCTGTGGCTTGTATAATCACTATCCAGGTCTCACAACTGGTTCCAGGATTTCTGATGCAAATAGCAAAACTACTTTCTTAAATACCTGTTTGAAACTGCATTAATGGTTAGCGTAGATGGGATGAGAGATAGGACTGTTGCCTTTTAATATAACATTGACATTGTTTGCAAGCCATTCTACATGGCTGATCCAAGTGCCAAAGCAAGTTGTTATTTTGGCACACAAAAAAGAAAATCTCAAAAGCACCTTTCCTCCTCCTTGGCAGCAAAAACAGAACAGCAACAACAAATTAAATTACAGTACCGTCATTTTTCTTTCTGAAAACCTAGAACATGCTGCTGACAAAGGTTGTCTCTACTACACTGCTCAAAGGTAGAAATGGCCCTGTGTTTTCCTTGAGCTAGGAAGGCTTGGATAGAAATCAAGAGAATTCAGGACTCCTCCCAACTTTTTCAAAGTACATTTTTCTGTTTTCTGGGTGCATAATTCAAAACTTTAATGAGTGTTAGAAAAAAATGATGACAAAGTATTTTTTTTCTGGATTAAGTGAGATGATTTAAAGGCAAGGTTTAACTAATCCAGAATGTCAGTAGCTGCACAATATGGAGATTTGCATATAAGACAGTCTAGAAATGGAGAAGAATTTTTCTTTTGCCTACAGGGGATACGAAAACTCTGGATAATAGTGAACCCCATTGACTTCTGGCCTAGGAGCACCATAGGATCAGGCTGGGAGATATAGAAAATGCCTAGAGAGGGCACATTTTGTTAAACATGGATAAATGAACCTGTGGATTCAGCGCCAACAGATACTTGGGTCATACTGTACAACCTTCATATACTGATATAAATTGCATTTTATGACACAGAATTTAGATAACACCGCGACAAGGAGGTGGGAAGAGTGAGAGTCAAAGACTGTTCATAAAGGAGAGGCAAGGTTTTTAAGGGGAGAAAGGGAAGGGAAGAAAAAGAGGGGTCTTCCAAATTGGTCTACAGAAGTGTTAAAGTCTTACAACAGTGGGTCTCAAACTGTGCTCCGGAGACCACTTGAAGCCCTGCAAGAGGCGCTAAGCGCTTCTGTGGGCACTCCACCTCATCTGGGGTTTCTGCTATTATTTATTTATTTATTTATTTATTTATTACAAAGGTTGAATGGCCATCTGTTGAGGGTGCTTTGATTTTGTTTTTACTGCATGGCAGAAGGAGGTTGGACTGGATGGCCCCGAGACTCTTCCACTGAAACCGTTAAGTATATTTTAGTTAAAATTGTTCTTCATTTTAAATATTGTAATTTTTTTTGCACTGTGTGACTTAGTTCAAACAAACACTTTCCATCCATCTGCCACTGGCCCAGCCCATGCCTGATATATATACATTATATATAATATAATGTAATGTAATGTAATGTAATAAAAATATTTCTTGGGACTCCACAAAAAAAGTTTGCTTCCAAAAGAGCTCAATGTCCGAAAAAGTTTGAGACCTTCTGTCTTACAATGTCGCTCCTTGAATTTTGCTGGTTTTTGTCTTCTCCAAATTCATTTGTTCCATGCTTTCTGGGGCAGGGGCTGTTGGTAGCAATTTCTTGGATTTGGACTAGGGTTCTTCCAAATGTTTATCTTTTTAAACAAAAAAGATAACTTTAATTAAAGTTACAATAACTCTAAAAATAAGAATTAAAATGGGGGGGGGGAGAGAGATTGCAGGGGAGAAATCTAGCCAGCAACCTCGCCCCCCCCCATTTTAATTCTTATTTTTAGAGTTATTGTGAACACTTGCCATTTCAATGATTTGCCATGACAACTGTAAGAAAATGTAAATAAATCAAAAGGAGTTGGAAAGAATGGGGCTTTTTTCTCTATATGTCTCTGATTTTTTAAAAAATACTAAGAGGTAGATATAAAATACTGTAGATGCTGGAAGGAATTGCCTAAACACCCAAACATCAGAAATTTTTCCATCGATTCCTTTTGCAGAGATGTTGTTTGGATCACTGTTTGGAGAAATGTTGTTCTAAGAGTTAAAAAAAATCCTAAGAACAACAGTAACAAATATCTTAAGTCATTTACCTAGAAGAGCACAGAGCTAAATCATGGTTTGCTTTATTTTTATTTTTATTTTTCTTCTCCTTCCCTTCCCTCTAGTGGACAGTGATAGAACTGCAGTAAATCCAAGCCCTTTTAAAGAAGGCTTTACATAGGATTTATGCTGCCTATCCTAACATTAAAAAAAACCCTGAAATACTCCTTTGCTTTCCATTTTCTTTTTTATCACAGAAAGCTGGGCATTATCAGTCTAAGGAAGGAAGGGAGAGGAAAGTTGTTCATTCTGACAAGAGCTGGTGAGCTCCTATTCTATGACCTGAACTCAAAACTGCTATTGATTCTCAACCTGTGGGTCCTGAGGTGTTTTGGCCTACATCTCCCAGAAATCGCCCGGCCAGTTTACCAGTTGTTAGGATTTCTGAGAGTTGAAGACCAAAACATCTGGGGACCCACAGGTTGAGAACCACAGTGCTACAACATCCTCTGAGTTAGCCCACTATAAGGAAATCACAAATAGTCTGTAAAGGGTACTGCAGATACTTTAGACGGTCATATTCCACAGCCAACAAGACCGGTGTTCTGGTGAATGGCAATCAGTGTTATCATTCCATGCAACGTAAGACAGCTAAGTATGCAACCAGCAGTGATAAACATGAGCAACAAAATGTATACCTGCAATATCTGTATCTTTGTTACTACTTTTCAACGTTGAATGCCAGGTTCCCCATATGTCAAAATAGTCCTCTGAAGCATCTACATGATGAGGAAGAATATGAGGTAGATTATTTGGTAAGAATTCTTCAACAGAGATCTAAAGAGGGACAATGGCCAGGATCCTAAGAATGTTTTAGCCTCATCTTCAAAGGGTTCAAGCTAGCGAAATTATTTTATTTGTTCCTCTCCCTGAACAGCAGATTTCCATGCTTTATCACAACTTGGTTTTGAAACTTCAAGATGTCAGGGTGCACAGGCAGCTATTCTTCATTTCAATATACCTTAAAGCTTGTATATTGAAATTAAGAATGGCAAGAACTGTACTTTGTGATCATTGCCTTCACAGAGTTAAGAGCTTATGATGAAGCCAATTCTGGGTGTTCAGTCACCTATATATCAATAATAGAATAAATGGGAAATATAGTAAAGTCTAGCTGAAGGGGTTGGACTATCCTTCCCGCAAAACGTGTACTTAATTGGTACAATAGGCCTTAATCGTGTTGACCCATTTATGATGTGATCACCCGAAGTCCGGTAGTCAGAAAAATGATATACCAATAAAATGTCTATCTGATTGATGGCACTTTAAAAGGCCAGTAAAATTTAATTTCCAATTGGATGATGTGCGATACTGAACACATAAACTATTACATGTTTTGTCTGGTTGGCTAATAACAAAAGACCACCTAAACATAACTCTTTTTAGCTGAACAGATGACCAGTAGCTATTATTCCTCACAGGTAAATAGACAAGAGGAGCTGGAGATAGTATAAAAGAATGTCCAAAAGACAGAGGAAGTAAGAAGTGTGTAATTGCTTCAACCACTACTTATATCATTGCATATTAAGATCATCTGGGGAGGCCCTGCTCTTGGTCCCACCTCCTTCATAGGTGTGATTGGTTGGGGATGAGTGACAGGGCCTTCTCATTGGTGGCCCCTCCATTATGAAACTCCCTCCCCAAAGAGATCAGATCAGCCCCTTCTCTCCTGACCTTCAGGAAAAAACTTAAGATGTGGCTTTGGGACCAAGCTTTTGATAAATAATTGGAACAGTGCAATAAGTGAGTATGAATCAATGTGAATGACTAATTGGAACAGCCTGGATTATGTTTGGATGGCGTGATTTTAATTGATGTTTTAATAAATTATGTTTTAATTGTCTGGTTTTAATTGTAATTGTTTGTTTGATATATGTGTGCATAGTATCAAATTGCTGTCTGTTGTAAGGCTGCCTTGAGTTCCCTCCAGGGTGAGAATGGCAGGATATAAATATGGTAAATAAATAATAAATATAAACAGCTGCCTAACGTGCTGTTCTTACGAAAATACCACACCCAATAATGCTGGTGTTAGGCTATTGGATAAATGCCTGTTATTGAAATTTGTAACAGGTGTCCAGCTCTGGGATATATGTTGAAATGTGTGGTTTTGTTCATGGATCACTGGAACTATATATCATACATTCCATAATTTAATCCTAACAGGATTATTTCTCATAATCAGTATGCCAGGATACTTTGAAGAAATTCTCCTCTTACAAAATGGAATCGAATGACCATTTTTCTATGAAAAAGTTATAATACTACTCTGTAGGTATGCTCACAGTTAAAAAATAACAGGGCAATGCCACCCACTGTGCATGCTCATCATACCTTTCCCAAGCCATGATCCAAGGGAATTTTCTCTTGATTTTGGTTGAAAATGACTAATCAAGGTGCATTGTTCCGGCACTTTAAACAACTTTTCAGAACTGAGGGACAGGTCTTCTTGCATTGCCAAAAGAGACCGTTCAGAGAGCACTGGGGAATTGTTGTCGTAAGGTGAGATGTCGCCACTTGAGGCTCTATTTGAATCTATGGACGAATGTCTGCCTTCCATGGAGAAAGAACCTTCCGACTGGAGTGCTTCAGGGCTTCTGATAAAAGCGTAAAGTAATAAAGTTTAGCCTCTCAAAAACTGTGCATGTCAACAACATTTAGGCAAGATATGATTATGGATGCTGGAAGGAGTGCATTTTCATAACAAACAATGGTGTGAATGTCTTTCACAATACATGAGTGAAAACTCACTACCACAATAAATTGAAGACAATAACCACAAATCAATACATATTGCAATGAAAGTGCTTTAATAAAAATATAATTAAAGCCAGAAGTAACTTCTTGTGTTACATAGATTGTTTTCTTTACCATGAGATTATTTTTGTCAATGTGTCCAAAAGAAAAAAAAAGGATTTTACTATAAGGACATACTCCAGGTTTGTGTATGTAGCATATATGCAGTCTGGTAAATTACTATGAAATAAATATAAGAATAATAAAGCAAGGTAACACAAGAAATGTTGAGGGTGGGATGGAAGAACACCTTGCAAACTTCTTAAAATACCTTACCTTAATAAGATTTGTGACCTTCTAGGATCTTCTCAAATGAAAATTCCAAAAAACTTAAAACAGGCCACTGCTGCTTTATATAAGATTTAACAAGAAAGCTTTCACAGCAAGAACTTTGATTTTAGGTTTAAATGATAGCTTGGCTTTATGTTACTGTCCTGCTGGAGAGTCAACTTCTCATCCTTGTAAGTCCAGGGGTAAGGAAAATCCAGAACTAAACAGTCATCACAGTAAGCTATAGCAGCAAGCAGTCTCATAGCAATGCCCAGTACAGCTGTATGTTTCCATCCTAACAGAGCTGTATTAAACCAGGCAAGCTTTCTTTTGTATTTCCATCAAGACAAAAAGGAGAAATGTTGAGGCTATTAGCTAAAAGTAAAGACAAAGACTGCGTTCATAATGCTTTCAATATAAAGGGCAAACAGCACTCCCTATGCACATTTTATATCCTTTATATATTTTCTCAGGGCAATCATCATGAGAAAGAGGTATTAAGCATTTCTTACACATTTCTCTATGGAATGAGTGACTTCCACTGACACACATGTGCTCAATTCACACTGCAGAGTTTCAATTTTTTCATTGAATTGATCTACATTTTAAATCCACCACCAAGTATCAATATAATTCCAAGAGTATAAAAGTGGTTACACATTTTAGTGGTTTACTGAGTTGGTAACTACATGTGTATCTCACTTATTTTTTGGTTCCAACTTCTCATCTGGGGAAAAACACAATCCAATAAATTTGTAGCCATCTCTTCAAACTGGACTACAAACAGGCCATGTCTAAAGAGAATAACATTTCCTACATGCTGAACAAATTTTCCTCTAACTTCTAGCCCAACTCGTTCCCAAAGCTACATGGTTGCTGCTGAAAACATGCTAGCAAAACTTTAAAAATGTGATTTCTTCTTGAGGAAACATGTTGTTTAAAAATGTTTTGTTTCTTGATGAAGAAATGACACAGAAAAAACAAGCAATTTAAGAGAAGTACCAACTTATTTTCCAAATGAATAAAGAAGTTCTAATGAAAGTCAAGTGCAGTTATTGGCAAATGATGTATGATTATGTGTAATGTTCATCCATGAATGTATTAAAATGAACTCTAACACTTAAACTCACTTAATACACTTGACAGTAATATTGACATACAAGCAATATGGGTGTGTGATCAGATCATCTCTTGTGTGTGTTGGTTTCAATGGAATGGAGATGTCATAATTTGCTGGATCCCAATCAGCAAACCCAGTATGATCACTGGGCAAGCTGGCTTGGAGATTCTGGAAGCTATAACCACAAAAATATTTTTCAAACCTTCCTGTTTACAATTCTCTAAGTTCTTTTGAGCAAATCAGGAAACATCTGTGTCTGCACTGGGATTTTCATACTTTTAGAGAATGGCTGGTTAATGGCAATATAGGCATCCTCAGAGGTTGTGAGGTCTGTTGAAAACTAGGAAAATTGGGTTTATATATCTATGGAAAGTCCAGGATGGGAGAAAGAACTCTTGTCTGTCGGAACTAGGAGTGAATGTTTCAATTAGCCACCTTGATTAGCATTTGATGGCCTGACGGTTTTTAGGTGTAGCTTGTTACTGCTTGGGAAAATCCTTTGTTGAGAGGTGATTAGGTGTTCCTGATTGTTTCTTGTCTGGAGTTCTCCTGTGTTTGAGTTTTGTTCTTTATTTACTGTTATAATTTTAGAGTTTTTTTTAATACTGGTAGCCAGATTTTGTCCATTTTCATGGTTTTCTCCTTTCTGTTGAAATTGTCCACATGCTTGTGGATTTCAATGGCTTCACTGTCTAGCCTTAGGAGAGAATGCTTCTAGAACATGGCCATACAGCCCGAAAAACCTACAACAACCCAGTGATTCCAGCAATGAAAGCCTTTGACAATACACAGAATTCCATTTAACAGTAATGCAAAGAGACCCAGTTGCAATACACCAGAATTCCTGCTTTTCATGAGTCCATACCATCAATATGCCTAGCGACCTGTGGGTCTTAAATTACACAATGAATGTATTGCAAAATCATTTTTGTTTTGTAATTGTATCAGCAACACAAACAATTGTGATAATAAAGACTACAAATAGACTCATCTCTTATAAAAGGAACAAGGAATTTGACACCACAGTAATTCACAGCCTATTATTTTTCTTTTAAATGAATGCTAACAAGGTTTTGAGACTTGAAGCTTTTGAATGATCCCAGGAAATAAAATACCCATTTGTAATGAAAGGAAACAAGTTACTCACGATGACTGGGATGCTTTCCTCCTCAGCAAATAGTCAACAACATCAGGGTCAGTCTCAAGCAGACTAATAAGAACTTCATTTTGAAGGTCAGCTGGGACCTATATGTGAATGAAAACATCAGAGAAATAAGTACAGAAACATGCACCACTTGCATTGTTTAGACAAAGGTTAATTGTCATTAAAATAAGACAGAACTCCTCAGAACAGCAGATCACTAACTGTAAATTGCTATTTCCATAGAATGTACACTTAAATATAGTTTGCTGTGAGTAGTATTATTGAGTAAACTTTTCTTTCTTTGCCATCAACTCTCCTTTTATTTTCCTCTTATATGATCCAAATCTGGCTTTCACAGCTTTCACCGGGAGTGACTTTTGAGGAATATTTGCATATTTCCTTTTATTTACAAAACTGGAAATTCTAGAAAGATATGCAGGTTGAGATTGGGATGCAGTTATATTGTTATTGTTATTAATGTTTTAAATGACTATTTTATAATGTAATGTTTTAATTAATGTTGAATCTGTGTTATATTATTATGGTGTATGTGTTGGCATCAAATTGCTGCCGATTGTAAGCCACCCTGAGTCCCCCCTCAGGGGTTGAGAAGGACGAGGTACAAATGTTTGAAATAATAATAATAATAATAATAATAATAACAACAACAACAACAACAACAACAAATAAGTGGGATATGAGGAATGTTATCTCTGGATGGTATTCCAATTTCTAATGAATGGCCTTGTGTGCTCTTCAACGTTCAGAACCTAACTGTGATACTTAGACAATTGTTCTTTCTCCTTCTCTTTGTTAAATGTCACATATTCCTGGCATTTGCAGGAATGTATACACTCATCTGTTTACATTATTTCATGCTGCAACAAATCCTTTTGATTACATCTGTGGTTTGTGTACATAAGGTTAAATATCCCTATGAACTTTCTATTATTTGAATGAAGAAAATAAATGGTCAGATTGATTTCATAGCTCTTGCGTTTAACTAGTACACATTTGCAGAACCATTTACAGCTATTTTTTTCTTGTTGAGACATGAGTCTAGACAATAGAAGCCTACATACTGTGTTAACTGTGGCAGGCATATAAAAAGTTTCTAGTTTATATAGGTCTATGTGAAACATCACATAACAATTTGTACACATTTACCTGGCGGAAAACGCACAAGAAACAGCATGCTTCTCGGCAGCAACTGCAAAGGTATGTGGCAGGAAGGTACATATAGGTTTGTGTCATTCTTGTGGCCTTTCAAGATGCATCTTACTGGCTACTGTGGGATACTGGACTCTACAGAACCCTGGCCTGATTTAGCACTGTACCTCTTATGTTCCAATTATTTACTTCCAAATAAATACACACAGACTGTGTTGCAATGGCATCGATATTCTAGCATAAATTATCTTCAAGTATTTTTTTGAAAAATACGACAGTAAATTTCCTTGCCTGACATGAATAAAATAAACAAAGTGAATTTATATGGAACCGAATTATATAAAAACCCCTGTGGGATAGTATTTATATTTCGGATAACTGTGTTGCTTATTGTATGGTGAATTTGGATGCAAAAGCATTTAAAAGCATTTAAAACCATGTATGGCTCAACTCCATTCCCACAGATTATTATCTGCTTTACCCTGAACTACATCACCATGATAGATAATCCACAATTTTATCACACATTTCTAGTGAAACAAGTTTAATGCAACCCAAGTTATCTAAATCTTGGAAACTACTTGTTGAGCATATCTATCTTCCAGGTTGCTATGCTGCAGCTTTATGAAAAAAGCATAATTGATATTTGACTGTTTACTATTGTGCTAAAATCACTAGCAGATTGTTGGTGCTAATCCATCTAGGAAATGAAAACAATCACTCACAATATTATGTATTACCTCTGACAAATAGAATCATCTTGACCTGACAGTAAACCCATGCAGTAGGCCAAATATCACATTCTGTTCTATTGGATTTTATTTTGCATATCTTGCTCCAGTTTCAATGCTGAAGCTATTCACAGCTGGAAGAAAGAAAACTTGGCAGCACCATATTGAAGCTGTACGCTCTGGGCCCATGCTCTTGTCCAAATGTTTCTTTCTCTTTTTTTCAAAGTAGTGCATATGTCAACGTCTTAACTATAAACAGCGCTCTGGACTCTTCCCACTCATTGAAAGCATGAAAAACAATTTGCTGCTGCTTTTATGTGGAGCTATCAAGAAGCTGTTACAACAAAATCTGCAAGGCTATTTCTATTAAACTATCACCCCAGAAATCACAGCATATAATCACAGCATATAACATTTTCTGGGGCAGGAGATAAGCAACTGAAAACTACTATTTTGTAAATGGAGAAGCAAGCTCAAGTATAAGAGGCAATTTGGGGCAGAGGTAGCCCAAAAAAGGAAAGTATTGGCATAAACAGGAAGCGTCTCTCCAGATATGGTTTTCCATTGTGCGTATCTGATGTCAAACTGACACATCCACGGTGTGCTCTAATTATAAATACGTCATTTGAAATTGTATATTCTTCCTTTGCATCCAGCAAGCCACTTAGTTTGGCCTTTAGAGCTGCAGGATATTTATCAGCAAAACGGCTCCATGAAAAAAGCTTAAATAAATCTGTACTACTCATTTTAAACACCAAAGCAAAATGACATGAAAAAAACAGATTAAGGCTATTTGAATCAAAATGATCCGCAGGCAGATTATTCATCTTTAAACCCAGCAGCCGGTAATTTATAGCTCTCCAGATGTTGCTAGACTGAAAGTCACATCATATTTCACTATTTATTATGTTGCCTAAGGCTGATGGGAGCTGTATTTCAACAACATTTGGGGAGCTACTTTAAACTTGTTTACTTGTTTCATAGATTTAATATTCTGCCCTCTTGTTGGAAATAATACAGTTAAAAATGTTACAAGATTAAGATTTATGGAGTTTATGGAGCTATGAATGAACAGGCATTACTTTCAGTATGACTTTGTACTTAAGAAAAAGGAAGGTTTGCATTAATTAAATTAGGTTTCTTAGAATCTAATATTTTCACGTGGTCATGCTAAAAATGTGCATTCCTTTTATGTGATCAAATCATAGAAAATGTCTAAGAGATGCCATTGAAACACAAACAAGCTCATTCAAGCAGCAAATACAACAACTGTACTTGTGCTAACTCATGGCAGCTTGTTGCTGGCATAAAATACTGAGAAAAGTAAATATTGATGAGCTAGGCCTCAGTGAAGCACAATTGTGATGAAGGATGTGTGTTGTTCATGTCCCATTTGCCACACAGAAAACTGTTAGTGTGGGAAGGCTTCATTGGTTGTTTTACCTGTTTATTTAACAACTCTTTAGTTGCCACTCCGCTTTGTGTTATACACTGTGACTCATATACAAATCACCTGTACTTTCCTATTTCTAAAGTACAGTATACTCTGTACAATTTTCTACAAATCATTATTATCATAATTTTGAAAAAAAATGTGTATCAAGTTCAAGTTTACACTTATATTCCGTTTTTTCTAGATGAGTAAGCTCTTGTTCTTATAGTTCCCCTTTACATGCACAACCTATATCAATGCAAACTAAGAAAGTCTTCACTTACCATGAAAAGCATTTCATAGTTTTCAACCATCTTCTGCACCACTGTAATAATTGCATTGCTTTCTTCAGCACGTGCTGTACTTTGAACTGTGAATTCTTTGTCTGTTGTCTTCTGTTTATGCAACAGATTAGGTCCAAATATAGTGGCTAGGTTGAGTGACGTCATTTTGTTACCAAGAATCTATTGGGGGGAAACAGCAGAAATGTGTTCTTTACTCTTGAAGTAGCTACCCAGTACTTTGTTTAGGCTACATTTCTTTTCTTAACCACATTAGGAACTTGCATTGTTTAAGGATCTTGAAGAGTCTGCCATAAAAGCGTGCATTCCTAATTTGTTCTCAGTCTGTCAACACAACTTCATTTTTCAGCCTTAGCTTGTCATCTGTGTAGCTATATCCATTAAACAAGGAAAACTGAGGATCATTAACACAACCCTGGTATTTTAGAATATCAAGCAATTTATGAGTTGATTCATCCATTCCATTTATCTTACAAAAGGTGCTGAAACGACACTCTTTACAGCTGTTTTGCAGTGTCCATGTTATGCAGTATAAATGCCACTTCATGTGGTTCTATGTTAGTGATTGATGGAAAAATAGAAGTGCTGAAATAGAAACTTCACAGCATGTGAAACATGACAAAAGAAACACTATGCAATTTTTAATGACTAACCTAATCACAAGACGGTTGATTATTATTATTATTATTATTATTATTATTATTATTATTATTAACAATATAATATCTGCATTCATATTTATTGATAAGGAAACATTCTTATTGTGAAAGAAGATAAAAACAGTACTCTAAATTTAGCATTATTGATAAGAGTTATTTATTTATTTAATATCTTGCCTTTATCCTGACACAGAATAAAGGGAGAGAGCAAATTGGTATGAGAAAAGCTAGAGCAGTAAGTCTCACTCAAGCTACACACCACAGCCTCTTCTGAACAAAACATCGTAGCCCCTGAGAGGAGTCCCTGAAACTCGAGGCTGCTCCTAGGCCAGTTACAAACTGAATCTCTGATCAGAGGGTGTAAGCCCTCAAGCCACAGGGCTCCTGGTGAAGGCAAAGATCCAGAGGAAAGACCAGAGGACAGTTTTTCCCAAACCCCAAGATTACACTATATATAGGAATAGTTCCAAGTTTGTCAGAAGGTTTGTCAGATAAGGAATATAGAAACCTAAAGCATTTTAAAGGGCATGCCTTTCCTCGCTGTCAACCCATTTACGAACCACATTTCAGCAGTGAAAATTCCTTGGGCAGTGTTACTGGGAAATAAGGGCAGACCAAACCAACCTGTTTTCTGGACAAAAGCCTTGCATTTGTTCGAGACCTTTTAAGGCCTGTATGGTAAGGTTCAGATGGTTGACTTCCAGATGGATGAGGCAGGAGGATAGAGTTTGCTCAACAGTGAAAGCCTTAAATGCAAATGACTTTACATGTGGCAGAGGCCAACGGAGCTGCCCATCACATAAATGAGCTAAGGAGAGGTCAATTGTGCTCCTCATTAATTGCTTATGGTGGAGGCCAATTAAGCCAGGATTATAGGTGTACCCATAAGTGTGAATGGTCCCTGTATCTCAAGATATCTAAGACACACATAATATACATGATAGAAAAATACAATAGAAAGAACTGTACTGAGTAATATAACAATGAAATTCAGTAGCTGATATTGAGGCAATCATGCCGTTCAGTGGTTCTCAACCTTTGGTCTTCCAGGTGTTTTTGACTTTAACTCACAGAAATCCCAACAAGCTGTTTAGAATTGTGGGAGCTGAAGCCCACATGGACGACCAAAGATCAAGAACCACTGGTGGAATTTATTTGTTTTAGGATCAATATCCTATCCATTCAACTTTCCTACTGAAATGCAACCAGGCACTGGAAAGTGTGCTTTGAAAAGTGCAAAACCTATTGCAAGCATATACATATACATATTCAAATACTTCTAGGGAAATCATGACTGTCATTTAAAGCTATACTTTACAAAGCCTCCAAGACCTGATTATTGTATTATTACATCAAAACTAATTTAGAGACAATGTATTGTTGAAGGCTTTCATGGCTGTAATCAATGGGTTGCTGTGAATTTTTTTCCCGGGGGGAGGGGCTGTATGACCATGTTCCAATAGCATTCTCTCCTGACATGTCGCCTGCATACATGGCTGGCATATTCAGAGGTTCTGTTGGTAAGTGAAGCAATATATCCACATATATGTATGCACTCCACTTCCTTCACTGCCAACAGAACCTCTGCATATGCCAGCCACAGATACAGGTGAAATGTCAAGAGAGAATGCTACAGGAACATGGCAATACAGCCAGAAAAACTAACAGCTTCCTAATTTAGAGACATCTCAAATCAATTTATGACTAACTATGAGTAATTTACTTCATATTACCTTTTATTTATTTATTTTTACAGCTCCTGGTGGGTGTGGATTGCTCCTTCGGCCTTCCTAGAATGATCTTACACAGTATATGTCAATATCTAGCTGAAGAAGGAATCCACATAAATTGGGCATTCCTAAATTCTACTTCATGGTGGGAATGGCTGCTTCCATCTTGCATTACTGTTTGTAAAGTAGATCTAAAAGTTGATTAAACTTGTGTATTGCCTGATGAAAATAGATGGTTCCTTCCATCCAGCAGCTTTAAAGATTTCCTCAAATGCTAAACTCTACATTAGGGCATTCAGCCAAAACATTCACATTGCAATTTTTCCTTTTGCTTTTTCTCTCACCACACTACACACAGAAAAAAATGAACTTACTTCCTGGCTGTCTTCATCTATTCGGTCTTCTGCATGGCTAGCTACAGTGGCGAGGAACTGCAAGAGTCGATGCAAGGTGTCACAGTTGCAGGGAGGGAGAAGAAAAATAAGAAGTTGCAACGTGCTTAGTTGTTCATGAGGCTCTAATACTAAAAAAAGAGGAAAAAGGTATTCTAAGGTGTACATTTATAGTGAGGTTCACAAGTGCATTCACTGCTATCAATTAACGAACAATGAGTATTTTATTATTTAATATTCCAAGGATTAAACATCAAACTGTGATGGTGGTGTTTGCCCTCAAGTCATCTTAAAAACATATGACAATGGTATCAAGGAGCCTTGGCCCAAAGCTGTCCTGCTCAAAGATCAAACACTGTTATGCAATGTCATCAAACTGCAACTATATAACTACAGAGCAAATGTTTATGCTCGTCTTAAACTCAATATTCTAGATATTCTAGAAGTTCATCTATGGTGAATTTGAGTTCAACATTTGCTGTTGATCTAAAACTATTTGAGAAAAAACCTGCTACGAATTACATCTTTACAACTATCCTTTTTCAATGGCATTCCATATAATATTGCCAAGTTTTTTTTTATGATAGTTTAATGACTGGACAAATGGAACAACATCCATTCTTGATATCTTACAGAACCACATTTTTTTCTCCCACACTAATTCAGAGCAAGACAATGTGTTTGCCATGATATTTTCCAGCTTTAAAATGGATCATTCTTAAAGACACTATAGCCAACCTGCATGCACACCTAGTTAGTATAATGTTAGTATATTACCAGATACCCAGACCTCAGATCAATAGTTAGTCTGAATTAGAGTGTAAAGGAAAACAGAATTTACTTACTAATAAGTAATAGATTCACATGTTGACTTGTGGAAGCATTGATTTACTAAATTCCAATGGTTCTACTCTCATCTGGATTAACAACTGGATTTAGCCGATAAACTTGACAGACACATGACAAAAACCGCTTCCATACTCAAATGGCCTCAGTTTTGCCTCAACTAAAAACTCTAGTTAATCTGTGTCAGGAATGTTTTAAGTCAATAACTTCCAATTTTTCCTCTTATCCTTGCCATTAGAGAATAAAGACAGGAGCACATAAGCATATAAAGTAAACCATAGTTTAACATTATATGCAAATTAGCCAACAAATTCTTGTCATACTCCCAAATATGCTGTAGATTTTGCAGTTCTAGAATAAACCTACTAAGAACAATCTGGACCACAGAAAACACCTCTGTAGGAAGAACTTGAGCAAAGGCAGTTCAGACAAGATACAGTAAACAGGCAAGTGGCATACTGGACACCAGAGGAATATGAAGTCCCGAAGCAGATTGAATCAAATGCAAATAGATAGTACACAACACATGTCTCAAAACAATGTCTCAAGGTATGTCATACAGTGAGTCACATACACACACTGCTCCAAGAACAGAAAACCAAACTCGGGAGATTCTAGTAAAAACTCTAGAACTGACCAGCAGAGCTGCATTAACATCTAACCAAAGACAATCATATTTATAATTTACTTGTGGGGGCACTGTGAAATATCATCATTAAAGATTACTACTTCCTTTGAACAGCAGTTGCAAAGGAACATGAGGTATTGTTGCTCTCATATCTTACCTATAGTATTCTCTTGCCGTAATAGCCCTCCAGATGACTATGGGGTACCATATCATAAACACTGCTGCCATCAGCAGAACCGCATATGAAAAGGTCAAGCCACTGGTGGCTAGGAAGAAAATTCTGACTAGATAAGCCTTAGATCTGATCCAGTACAGTTCTTATAATTATTATTTTTAACTCTGGTAATAGCATATTTAGCCAGAACTCTTTTTTTTTCCTCTTTTCACCATCAGATATACAATTGTCCTCTGGATCAAATTTTCACAGAAGTACACCTTTTTGTTATTAATATTAATAAGCAACTTGGAGAATAGAAACACAGGCTCATCTGCAGCAAATTACTAATCTATCTTCTGCAAAGTGCTGGTAACTGAAATAGGGAAGGTGTATGTGTGAATTTTAATGAATCAGGAAACAATAAAGTTGCACTGCTTACAGAGAGTGTTGATAAAAGGAGTATAAAGCTCTCGAGTCAGGAGTGGGTCAGGCATGTCACGAAGGAATTCCTTTAGTAAAGCAGCCACATCATGAATGCTATGTTCTTCATCCAGCACAACATCTACACCACGGTCAAATTCCTCACGTAACTATGGAAATCAATGGAAGGGAGGGGGAAGCTCATATTAAAAATATGTATATTACCCAATTAAAGCATGACACAAAAATGCTGATGTGCGAAATTATAGGTTTGGGCATTCACTAGAATATCTGTCAAATCTGACATCTAAGATAATATTATATGATTGTGTCATGGATGAATTACTTCTGTATTAATAGAATATAAATGGCATTTATATTAAATATTGAAAAATTCATTGGTAGTATGATAAAATATTAGATAATATTCATATGTTTTGCTAAGTGGAATTATTACAAGTAATATCACATGTGAAATGCCACAGTGGTGCAAACATAATATCAAGGAAACAAATATATACTCACAGGTTTAGGGATCTGCCATACAGTGGTTCATTTAACTACAGTTAAAGCAAACTGCATGCTTTTACTTAATCAATTTTTTTGACTCAACATGAAAATTTTGACTAAAATTGGAACTGAAAGTTTTTGCTTTCTCCTTTTCGCAGAGAGGAAAAGGGTAATACATGAACTCAAGGCTTGATACAGCTAATGTATCACCTTGTTGCAAGATTCATGGATTAACCAGTGTGAATTTAGCAGTGGACTAAGCCAAAAACCAAATGCAGAGGGGAGGCACTAACTGCAGGAAGTTTCCTTAAGGCCCTCCCCTCTGCAACCCCAGACTAGGAGATCCCTGGTCTTTTGGATGTGGGGATTGAAATGCTCCCTTCTGGCCATACGGTTGGCCCTTCTGTCTGGAGATGTTTCCCAATTTTTTTAACTTTGTGAAACTGAATGAAGAAGATTCTTTTCAGAATCTCATGTCTCCTCTCCCCTTAAAAGTATGCATAATTTTCTGTGTAGCGCATCTCTGTGGAAATCATTATATTTCATGCTTCAGGAAAATAGAAAAAAGATAGGCCTAGTTTGTGGAAGGAGACACTCAGAAGTATCACAATGAAATTTAGCTAAAGTAAAATGGAAACAAGCTGGTGTTGGGGGGCGGGGCGGGAAGGCAAAAATAATTTAGCTGTATCAACAGGTGTCTTACAAGATTGATAGTATCTGGAATCAACAACTGCCAGATGGCAATTGGAAAACAACTTTAGAAAGCAACTCTCCTTTTTACTACAAAAAATAACTGATATATATATATATATATATATATATATAGAGAGAGAGAGAGAGAGAGAGAGAGAGACAGAACATAGCTGATGTTGACATTTTCAGAATGCATACATTTTTTTTAAAAAAAAACTTTGTCCATTGTAAAAAAAATTAAATGAAAATCTTTTCAAGCCATACTCTTCTCATAGATTTAGATAAAGGATAGTAAGTACAGTCATCTGAAAGTTGTACTACTACTCAATTCCAATCAGTATAGTGTTGAAAAATGCTGATAGCTGGACCAATTTGGGGTGCTACACTATGCTCAATCCTGTCCTATCTTTTATCTGATGAATTCAGTTAAATGTTATATAAAACAAGGCTTCCTAAAATTATAGCATAACACTGATTCATAGGATACCATAGATGAGATACAAAAAAAGGGCATGTATGTGAAAGATTTACCTGTCTTACTCTCTTTTTTGAGCTCCCGACTCTGAATATACCTACTGTTTGGAGACCTAGAAAAGAAGAAGCAAATCAGTGATTATTTAAAGCTTTAAGGAAACAGGCACACACATATATTATTAAGACAATGATGATACTTTGAAACCTTTATGTTTTGCTGCCCATAGCTTGTAATTATAACCTAACTTATTATAATCTATTTCACTCCTGACTCCAATTGTATAATTTCTATCAGGCTAACAGAATAACACCCAAACACATTTTTTTTAAAAGTAAGAACTAATTAGGTTTTCTCTTCAAGTAATATCCTGCTATTCAACCCTGACAAATTTTCAGTAACTCTATGATGGCTGTCCAAGGATGACACTACAGGGAAGTCTAAGACAGATCAGGGTCATAATCTTATTTAGAAAACAGATGTTTCAGTATCAGCTCATTGAACTGATCACAAGCATTGTTAAGTTACCTTCTGTACTGAAAAAGAATGATCTTGGATGAAGATGAATCTAGGCCCCTTCTACAATGCCATATAAAATCTAGATTATCTAATTTGAACTGGATTATATGGCAATGTGGACTCATATAATCCAGTTCAAAGTGAATAATGTGGATTATCTCCTTTGCTAACTTGGATTATATGGCAGTGCACAAGTGGTCCTAGTAACCAAGTATTCAATGTGTTCTTTTGCTCCTTGAGAAGAGCAGAGCATGGTAAAAGTCTGGATACACATGTATCCCAGAATTTGGCATAATTTCATGGAGTTCAAAGAGAGCCCATTAGTAGGTAGCTGTCTAGCCCTAGAGAGAAACCCCACCACCTCAGGTAATTGGTTCACTGGTCAAACAGATCTTAGTATCAAGAAGTTCCTTCTGATCTTCCATCAAAACCTATCCTCCTGTAAATAAAACCATAAGATCTAGCCCTACCCTTGAGGAGCACAAAAAAGGCATGCCCCCTCCTCTCAAGATATTTAAAGAGTGCAAACATGTCACCCATCAGTCTTCTGCTCACCAGTCTGAACATGTCGAGTTCGCTCAATTTTCCTCATACATTTTGAACAGAACCATTGTTCTATTTCCTGATAGTTTTCCCACCCTATCTACCTGCAACCCAAAGGAGGTAGGGAATCTGGTTAGAATATTGGTGATACTTAATATCTCCTACTTTTTTCCTTGTGACTTCTCACATCCCCCCAAAAAATCTGCTTTCCCATTTGAAAATGGAAATATAGAAGATGCTTACCTTTTTCACTTAAGGATGGTGAGCAATCTAGCAAAGAGTGATGTTTTGTCAAGGAGAATGACCTTAAGAGAGAGGACTCTGAGCTATGATTGGGTTTGCAACCCCATGGCTGCATTTTGGGCAGGAGAAGATCCATACCATGAACAAGAATACTAGAAGTATGTATCCCTAAAAGTTACACCCACCAGTCTTAAAGCATATCAAACTGAGGAACACTTACCGTGTTTTTCTAAATGCTGGCAGCAACTGTCTACAAGCCGAGGAACTTGCCTGTAAATAGGATTGAGACTAAGTTTTTTGTCCCGGGATTTTTCTTTCTTGCTCTGTGCTTCAGCAGGCAGTGACAGCTGTAGAGCTTCCAGCAGTCGAGACTGACTGTCATCAAGATCAGTAATGGAGTCCACAGACATTGCACCCTGCAACACACAGAGACATAAAATAGACATAGCTGGAAGGAGCACAAGTTTCATCCTGAGAACAATTCCGGTTCAGAATCTTTGGCAGCCTTACACACAGATAGAAAGTGTATCTACAAGGGCCTAGGGTGCACACATAGATCATATCGGACAATCTTTGACTTTAAAACCCAGTAAAGTATAAATTGGTAAATTCTACTTTAAATGAAATCATACCTTTATAACATCATATTGATTTCCAAAAGTAATGTCAAAATATCAACATGAAAATATTGATGTCTAAAGATACCCAATAGTCAAAAATATTGTATAATAATTTGCCTTTTTGAATGAAGAACTGTCAAATAATTTCCTAATATTTTTTTAAGAGAAAAGGTTTCTGGAATTTCTCAACTGTGACTTAGTTTTTCATATTGAGAGATCTGCCCATAAATAACTATAATGTGCCTAGAATTTGCCCAGCAGGGAACTGTTACTCCACATCATAACACAAAAAGTTTGCCTCCAATATCCAACTTCAAACACATGAGATAACTCAGATGTCTGCACCAATGTTAAAAAAAATGCTCTAGAAGTAAAGGGTGCTATGTTCATCTATAAAAAATAGACAAACTCTGTAGTTTATTTATTTAAACTATTTATGGAGCACACTATACTATATCATAATAAGATCTCTGACTGGCTTTCACAATACAATCATTTTAAAGAATGTATTATTTAAGACAATAAAATAATTTAAATCTTCTAAAAATGAATTAAACAATGGGTTTAAAGCTGTCTAAAGCAATGCATACAGATATGGGTGAGATCACTGCCCTTAATAGTGACAGTTTAATTTGGTGCCAGAATGAAACTGACACTGTTGCTAACTGGGCTAGTAGGAAGGTTTTAGACTTCCGGTTTTGGTTGAATGTTTGAAATGTGGTTATGTGACGAATGTAAGCCTTTCAAAATTTCTATTGTGCATCTGTTGTAAATGGAAGACACAGCTTAAATATTTCATCCAAGACAACCAAAGCCCCTGAAACTAAATGGCAGATCTTGTTTTTATGCTTTGCATATGGAATGCACCCCCAAGGAGAGGGCAAGAGAGTAAGTCAGGGATTGCTCTGAGAGATGCTGTTGTAATCAGCCATCAAGTAATGTTTATGAACTGTGCTATGTACTTGTTGTTTCCCTCTTTTTATAATTAGTAGTGCAGGCTGTATTTTCATGCTACTTTGCAGGGGAAAAATATTTTTTTGAAGTGCACTTTTGCTTTCATAGTCTGCACTTGTTACTACTAAGTCTGTTTGGTGAAAGAAATCTTACAGCAGGCATTTCTGTTGTTTGAAGCCTCATTTCAAGGTAAACTGCATCTTTTGTGTGCACCACTACATTTCCTTTCAGACCTAATAGTTGCCCAAAATATAACATAAGTCTGATTAGTGGTTACTTCTATCACTGTCATACCCCAGATGGTGTCAAGCACAGAGAAGCAGACTAGCTCACTTGAGTTAAGATTCTTAATCAGAGCAAAGAAGATACTTTGGGTGAAGAAATGTACCACTGCACTTATATTGTGGAATATAGGATTGTGTGCCATATTAAAAACATACAGCATTCTAAGTGAAATGGGAGTGTGCTTCTGGATTCTTCACAGTGGTAGCAGATACATATAGAAGACACAGTCACACTACAAATACCCCAAGTTGGGCTCCTTGAAGAGGCTGATAAGCTGTTTAAGTGAGTGATAGATGTCCTTTCTCTGAGAGGCATTTGACTTTGCTTGTTGGATAACCAATTATGTTTACAGGTCTCCACGTGGCTTCTTGATTAGTGCTCCTTTTCTTCTCTGCCACTGATACCAATGTACCAAACTGCTCTGTGAAGTAGTAAGAGAGCTGAATAGAAAGTGTAGCTTTCTTAGGAATACAATCCTCATGTCTACCAGATACTGTGAAGATGAGGAGAAAAGTCTGCTGACTTTTGCTCAGAGTTCAAAAAGTTCAGAAAGGAAACATCTCTGCTCAGGGGCACATAACAAATGCAGCACTGTCATCACTGTCTACCAACCTACAACCATCAGCTTTCTGAAAAATGGAAAGTTAAAAAGAAAGAGGGGTTAAATAAGTTTGTTCCTTGGTAATTGGAAAGAATAACTAGAATCTGGGGGAAAGTAAAGTTTCCAAAGAATCTTTGTGTCCCCTGAGGAGTTGGCAAGAAACTTGTGTCTATCTCATGCTCTCCCACGGACAGCTGAGAAAGAGGGATGACTGTTGAAATTGCAATTTTTATCATTTCAATCAGGGCTTTAATTTAATTACATGTGAAAAGACCCACAAACTTAACTTCTGCATGCAAGGCAAGGCCTGGGAATGTCCCACAATGTCTAGGGTGCACACATAGAAATTAGCAGACAACTTACTCTCCTTCTGGCTCGTGGAGCTGGTTCTGGAGTATTTGGTGAAGTAGATTCATTTGGTGTTTCTGAGGTGGAGCTAAGAGATGAGTTACTGCTTGAGAGTTCCTTGTTTTGTCTTTTGCTCCCAAATGGTAAAAGGGAGGCTACAAATTCTGAAACATCCCTCTGCTCTTCCTTCTGAATGTCCTGCTTCAGTTTGTAGGCCCGATCATTAGCTATTACTTGTGATAAAGGCATACCAAAAGCCTGGGGTACAAACTCTGGAAAATAAAAATGAATTGTTATATTGGAGCTTTAACCTTTTAAGACAGCCATCATTTTTTCATGATTTTTAGTCAGGAACAGACACAGCATTTAAATAGATTCAATTAATCCTAAGTAAATAATTTCACCATAGAAAGCATCCTCATCTTTGTGAATCTCCTTGGTGTACCTCTATGATCTTGAAAGTTTGAGAAAGTGTTATATCAGATTTTCACTGGACAACAATTCGCTAAATCTCTTGTAAGGTAGGTGTTATCACCCCAAACACCATATTAACTCAAATGTAACATGCACCTTTTTGGCTAACTGATCTTGGCAAAAGTGGGGTGCACAATAGATTCGATGGCACATTACAATTGTGCCCCAAAGCGGGGTCCCCAACTGGCTTCATTCAGCTTCTGAATTAGGACAATTGGGAAGCCATGTCTCTCCACCAAGCCAAGGCTGGGTTTGCCAGTCTCAGGATGGGGGCGGCACTACTTCCCTACCAGCCGGCTTCCCCTTCTTCTCTTAGGTGAGAGAAGCATCAGAAAGCCCCTCTCCCTTTCTCCTGTGTTTCTGATGCCAGAAAGCCCCATTCCCTTCCCAGTTGGCTTCTCTCTTGTCTCTTCTTAGCTGAGAGGTGAAGGAGAAGCAGACCTCCCCCCCCCCCACACACACACAAACCCAAACCAAACTGGGGTTGCAGGTGGAATTACTTCTGCTTGCACCTTGGTGGGAACAAACCCAAAATGTATGCAAAATCTTTTTTGTTGTTTTTAATGTGCACCTCAAAACTGTAGTGTGCATTACAATCAATGGTGCACTATATTTGAGTAACTATGGGCAGTTGAAGATGTTTTGAATGATATTATAATGAATAACAAAAAGTCAGTGTGTAATTGAAGATAGAACAAAAAAGAGATTGAATGAAACAGAATGCAAAATCCCAAAGCTTATGCAATTTATTGAACAGTGAATGACAGATTAAACTTTAAATATACATTTATGACATTATGTGTGCAGAAATGGAAATCATGTAAAACTCAGGATGGAAGTCAACAACAAAAGCACCACAATAGTTAATAAGGTAAAGATTTCAATTTGGATTTCTCAATAAGAAAAGCTTGATCACAAATTATTTCTATTTCTTGCCCCACTATATTCTAATACTTTGATCTGGAGGGAAAGGTTGCATTAAGTCTCCTGCTTAATGCAATTGTGAATGTATATTTTTAGACCCTGCTTTAGCTTTGGTTAATGCTAAAGTGACACAATTACAAAGTTATTATAACAGGATTGTTGTCCAACTGAGCATGAAAGATGCCTACAATTTAAACAGCATCGAAATACAGAACAAATAATGTTCGAAACAGTATCATTTCTAAGAACTAAGGAACATGTTGTTTTATATTCACTGTGGGACTCTACTCTCTCTATGGGAAAGGCAATTACATGCTAACATCACCAGTGGAAATTACTGTTGGAACAAGTTGAACATAAACTGCAAGAAATGCTTTATATTAACACAGAATGGGCAGAAAGTAAACATAGAAGAAGAACATCTATTTTCTGGTTATAATAAATGAAAAATCAAATATTTATTCACAGCAGTGCATTTTTTCCTGGAAACAACCAGCAATGGAATGTGGTAAGGAACTCTAGCATTCCACCAGGTATTATAAAATAACAGTTCTGCAACTATTCAATGAAAACACATAGCCAAATTGAATGGCTCTTCGTTACTGGTGTGACAAACAAGATATTCATTTGTATTGTCCATTCAAAGCAGAGAAAAATAATTGCAATGCAATGACTCATCTGCCTTCAACTACCTTTTAGTTATTTACAAATATTATTTTATTATGTAGTGATAGAGTTTCAGGATAATACTTTACTGTACCCTTTTGTTTCACCAGGAAAAATGGATGTTGGATCCAACTACTTTATTTCCATAATAATTGAGTTGGTTTCATCTCTGAACACTTAATCTTCTATTAGTTTGCAGAAGGAAAGAATGTAATTTTGCACAGGTGTGCCCCCTTCCCTTCTGTAAAGAAGAGAAGGATACACAAAAAGATGAAGTAACTGGCCTTTTTTAAGCTTGACTTTTTAGGTTACTCCACTACTGGAGAGGTTTGTGGATGCTTTAGGAAAAAATCATAAAAAGCAATTAATTAAAAAGCTATTTAGATTTTAGAATTCTCCCTTCAATTGAACAGTGCTTAGGAAAATACACTGTCAAAATAAGGTTAAAATCAACACTACAAAACAACAGTTCTCTTGACAAAGTTGCAGACAATTTGACTTTGGGGAAATGCAAGCAATATAAATTTCTGTTCATTTTTGAAACGTGAATGCTTTAACAATAAAGCACTCAATCATGCACACCCCTATGTCCTCCAATACTTTCTAACTACAGCTTTTTTTTTGTAGTGAGCCACATAATGAAAAGAAAACAGGTATGCCCACGTCCCTCTTGATATATGGGTCATTATTGTACACTATTGTTATAGAAAGCCATCTGACAACAAAGGAATAAAAGGTTATTTAATCACAAAAGGTTGGACTTCTGTCCTTAAAAGGACAAAGGACATGTTTCTATGAAAAACAAATCATTGTTGAATATAGATCTACACAATATAGACTTTACTTCCTATGGCCCAAGTGAACTAGAAGGAGCACAACTCAAACATTCCTAGGAAAATGTGGGGCTTTTGGCTTTGTTTCCAACTTATCATGAGTTAGGCATGATTATTAACATTGGTAAAGTGATATCTCTGGCGAGCATAGCGACTGAGGTCACAAAGCGACTGAGGTCATAAATTCCCAAACTAAATTCATTTTGATAAGTAAAAAGCATGAGATAGTCAGGAGCCCAGGAATACATTCAAACACATAGGTTTCCTATTTTATGAGAAAACAACTAAGTTCTCTAGTAAGGTTAGCTGTCTAAAGACACCGGTTGCTTAACAAAGAAAAGTTTGTGAGCTTGTGGCTATTTATCAGCATAAAAATCATGTCATAGAAGGATTTATGAGACATGATTTGGAAATCTTCCAATTTCCTCCTTCCCTCATCTTTCAGTTAATACGTCCTTACCACTACCCAAGAATTAAATCAGAGGCTTAGCACATAAAACAAGACAGCTGCAAAGTAATGGTTGTATGAATGCAGAATTAAAAGAAAGTCACTGAGAATGAGAATGCTCAAGACACATCTGTGGAAGGACGCCTACATGTGCTGTGCCGTACAGAGCAGAATGTTTGTTTTGGACAAGTTGCCTGGCAATGGAAAGCATTCACTTTAAAATAAACTTCTGAAATGCTTGTTAAAAACACAATTCTGTGAGCAGCTAAGAGAACATTTTTCTACCCACTGTCAAGCATAAAGGGGAAGGTGGGGGGGGGGGGTTTGAGGGTAGACTATGAATTTTGTTTGGGACAGCGTGGGCTGACGATGAATCAAGTCACTTCAGTGTACCCAAATCCTAACAGAGAAGAACAACGTTGAACAGTTTATTTAGGTGACTGGGCATAATGTACAAAGGAGAGACCCCACAAAGAAAAATGAGGGCATAATCTTGCTAAGAAGGCAGTCGGTTTTTCAAACATCTCCATACACAGCACACACAAAGCATACACCCAGCAATTTTGCCAAGAGCATGTTTTCTCCACCAACCATATTTAATCTGGTGGTGCTTCATAAGAACATAAAAAGAGCTAGTTGTGGACCAGGCCAAAATTTCCTGTGTATTTTGTTGATACGTGCCTTCAAGTTCTTACTGAGTTATGGTGATCCTAAATTGGTCTCAACTGGATTTTCTTGGCAAGATTTATTTAGAATGAGTCTTCCTTTGCTGTCCTCTGTCTTCCTCTGAGGCTGAGAAAGTCTGATCTACCCAAGGTCATCCAGTGGGTTTCCATGGCTGAGAGGTGATGTGAACCCTCTGCTCCAGGGTCTTAGGCCCCTTCCATACAGCTGTATAAAATCCACATTGAACTGAATTATATGACAGTGTGGACTCAGATAACCTAGTTCAAAGCAGATATTGTGGGTTATCTGCCTTGATGTTCTGGGTTACATGGCTTTGTAGAAGGGTATAATGATCCAGCTGAGTAGTAGAGAAGATTTTGAATTAAATTTATATCCGGGGAAACATATATAAAAATAATCCCAACGCTGCTCCACCAAATTATAATAATGACACCACGTCACTACAGACTAGCTCACTAAAAATATAGAGCTCACAAAAGGTAGAGGGAGTATAGTTGTTGAACCAACTGTCTATGTAAAGGCTAGGAACTGGGAACCACTGGAAATGAGAGACTTAACATGATTTTTCAAAAGATTTCTACTGCCACCATATTAATAATTAGCCTGGGGACCCGACGCTGCCCAGGTTATTAGAGAAAGTAATTGTTTATCAAGGTTGGTCTTTATCAGTTATTTATATGGCTCGCAGTGGTCTCAGGAACTTAGTGAAGGTACTGCGAGTCACATCATCTATGGTCCATCCTCCTCCAAACTGCACCAGGATGGAGAGTGGGTCATGGGGGCTCTGTGTGCTAAGTTTGGTCTTGATCAGTCATTGGATGAGGGTCACAGCGGTCTCAGAAAGTGAGTTAAGGTACTGCAAGTCCCATCATGCATAGTCTCCCTCAAACATCACCAGAATGTTGAGTTGGCCATGGGGGATCTCTGTGCCAAGTTTGGTCTTTCTTGGTATTTGATGAGGGTTGCAGCAGTCTTGGGAAGGGAGTGGAGGTACTTGAAGTCCTATCATCCATGGTCTGTCCTCCTTGAAAGTGCACCAGGATGTAGAGTGGGTCATGGGGACTCTGTGTGCCAAGTTTGGTCTTGATCAGTCATTGGCGAGGGTCTCAGTGGTCTCAGGAACTGAGTGAAGTGACTCAAAGTCCCATCATCCATTGTCAAATTCTTCCAAACCGCACCAGGATGTAGAGTGGGTCATGCGGGCTCTCTGTGTAAATTGTGGTCCTGATCCATCACTGTTGGCAGTTGTAATGGTCTTAGGAAGGGAGTGCAGGTATTACAAGTCCCATCGTCCTTGGTGCATCCTCCTCCAAACTGCACCAGGATGTAGAGTGCGTCATGGAGACTCAGTGTGCCAAGTTTGGTCTTTATCGGTAATTGGATGAGGGTTGCAGTGGTCTAAAGAATTGAGCAAAGGTACTGCAAGTCCCATAATCCATTGTCCATCCCCAGCCAAACCACACCAGGACGTGAAGTGGGTCATGAGAGGTCTATGTGCCAAGTTTGGTCCTGATCAGTCATTGGATGAGGTTAACAGCGGTCTCAGAATGTGAGTGATGGTACTGCAAGTCCCATCATCCATGGTTCATCCTCCTCCAAACTGCAGTAGGATGTCGAGTGGGTCATGAGGGCTCTGTGTGCCAAGTTTGGTCTGTATTGGTAATTTTCTGGTAGAGCCCCTGGCCTTTTCCTTTCCTCTCTTTGTCATCTCGGAATCTTGGAATTGAGGCTGAGGTATTATTGAGAGGTTGTTCAGTAACACACTCTGTGTCACTATAGTTTTCTTAGAGGTGGATGAAAGCTGACTTGAATAATGCTTTGACCACAAAGGTATTCACACTGAGGCTGGTATAAGTTGATAAAAATAACAAGAACGTTTATTGAACAGGTTTGAAATATTCAGATACAAATGCTTAATGGTTTCAGTAAAATACTGGTATAAAAAGCTTGCGGTTGCGTTTGAGTAAAGATCTTAAAAACTTCTGGGTTACAAGTCTTAAAAGTTTCAACACAGAAAATTACTTCAGGAAATGAATCTCTGAAAGTAACTCCCAAAATTCCCCCTTAGGAATCTAGCCAAAACCCTGAACTAGACTTCCTTAGGAAATGAACAGACCACTAACGAGGTGCTGATCCACACAGTATTCTAGCTATATTCTCTATAGCTACCCTGAATACTTTACAAAAAGACTGAGCCAAATTTCTTCTTCAGAACCCAAACTTCTTCTTCCAACCCTTTCCAAACTCCAAACTGGCAAACTGGGAACTCAAACCTCAGTTTAAAAGTCACTTTTTTCCTTTAGATCACTTTGGCTCCAGCCCCATCTTTCTAACCAATCCTAGCCTTCTGATTTTCCCTCCTAGACTAGAACATGCCCCCTCAAGGCAAACCTAACCTAAGATGGCTTCTCCCTGTTTCCCTTTCCTAAAATGGATGCCATGGCTTCGCCAGGCCCACTTCCTTAGACTTTTGCCAACTAGTAAGGTAAGGGATTCATTACAAAGGGCTCTTAGTCCTCACTTAAACCACTACACTATGCTAACTTTCTTGCTTATATACTGCATTTATAGCTTAATTGATGATTATTTAATTATAATTACTTAAATCACTTGTTTTAATTCATTATGTAATGTATTATATTGTTTGTTACTTCTGTTTTATATAGGCATTAAATGTTAGCCTTTATTATGTTGGAAGCCACCCTGAGTCCCTTTGGGGAGATAGGGCAGGCCACAAATAAATATTCAGTTGCAAAGCAGCTTTAAAATATAATATGAACTGCTATTGTAGGTTAACTGTTGAGAAGAAGAGCATAGATATTTTAGTAGTCCACTTTCCACCGTTTTGGAATTGATTGCTGATGGAATGCAATATTGATATTAAACATTCATTTTTGAAATTTGTTCCATTTTTTACCGAGACATTATTGAAAGATTGAAATGGTTGTTGTTACACATGAATGCTGCTATTTTTTTAAATGTTTAAACCCAATATCATACTATCAAGCTTCCAACAGCAATATGAACCTTTTCTTCCCACTGCTTCTCACATTTGTCCTTGTCACTGTTTAAAAACCTGCTTTGGGGGATTGTTAGCTTTGTAGATGGATTTGTATGTGACAGACGGATATCAGAGGATCCCTGTTCTTTTAATTCAAAGATTTACATCTTCAAGGGATGTGTGTGTGTGTGTGTATAAATACACGCACAACTATATGCACAACCATCTGCTGGTATTTGTTTACAGGACCCCCATGAATATTAAAGTATGTGGATGCTTAAGACCTTATATACAATAGCATAGTAAAATGATGTCTCTTTTATAAAATGGCAAAATCAAGATTTGCCTTTTTGGAATTTGTTTTGAATATTTTCAAGTCGTAAATGGTGGAATCCGTGGATACAAAATGTGTGGATATGGAGGCAAACCTGTACCTTAAAATCTATTTTAATGAATTTACTTGCTTCCCTTGTTCGGTTTGTACAAAAGGATGGAATACATCCTTAAAACTTTTTTTTTTAAAACTTAGCCATCTGAAAATTTACATAAGTAAAGAAGTAGGCCTTGCAACAATAATAAATTGCATACTATCTATATAGTAATTTTTGTTGTATTTTGTAATACAGTTGTTTTCGGTTTATATAGATACATATTTTACTGTACCTTTATCTTTGTTTTTTTCCTTTCCAAGGGAATCCAGTTTCTTTCGTAATGATTTCTTCCTTTTTTGTCCATCTATAAATTTTTTTAAAAATGTAAAAAGAAAGAATGAGATGAAAGGTATGGCATAACTGACAGTGGAGCAGAACAACTTGCTTTAGATATGCAGAGATTATAAAACAAAAACATTACAAATATGTGTGTAAATGCTGTATGGGTGTAGACAAATTATCTTTAATCTGGAAAATAAGGCTATCACTTCATGTATTTATTGAAGTGATTATATTCTACAAATGTTTATGCCCCAATAAATTGTACTGCTTTCTAAATTATTATCATTAATGTTACTGCAGGTACTAGAGGGAAAGGTGTGATTTTGGGATACTCTTAAAATTTGCTGTCAGTGCTTACTACAGAGAAATTCATTAAAATATTTACAGTGGGTCTGCAATAGTTGCAGTGCATTATCTGCAAATTCAACCAACCATGGATTCAAACTACAGTACTGTACACAAAGCCACATGCAATATTTTACACAACATTAGTACTGTGTAAGGCTGAAGAAGCTGCTGAGAGATGTGTGGCTGCAGAAAAACATGAAGATCTGCGAAACTGGGAATTCTAGCCTAGTACTTGGTGAAAATCCATGCCTCTCGCTATTTCACTAATCATCGCATCCTTCTGCAGTCTTGCATTTCTGCCCTTATTTATGACACATATTAATTGCCTGGGGTAGGTTTTTACCACAGGCCAAAGACAAAGGGTCATATTTAAATGTTTTAAAGAAGTAGTTCCCAACCTTTTTTTGACCAAGGACCACTTTGACCAGGGACCACCTTGACCAGGGATCACTCTCCAAGATTAGTACCAAAAGGGTTACAAATCAGTTTGTGGTCAACTTTAGATTTGGTTTGGTTATTTGGGGTGCTGATTCAGAAAATTGCATTGGATATACCACATCAGCTCTAGATTCTAATACAGAACATATGACATCCAGCAGTTGCCATCTGCTCGCCCACAGAAAGTCATATTTAATAAGCCTCGGCCAGCACTATAAGAGGGTTTCGCAAGACTAGTCACTCTTGTCCACAGGTGTAGTAACAGTGAGGCCATATTTCTGTTCTTGCAGACCACTGGTGGTCCACGGACCACAGGTTGGGAACCACTGCTTTAAAGGAACTAAGAGGTGTTCCAAATCGTTTTGCGGAACATGACTCTGACACACCCTGGAACCATAATCAATTAATTCTTTAAAATAACTCTCACTAGCTCCAACTGCAGCACACAGTATTGCCATCCATACAAAGACACAGCGGAAACATCGATCTACCATGCAGTAATACTTCAGACTTGTGGAAGGACAGACAATCTACACTGCCTTTTGTAGAGGGATCTTTGGCTCTTGCAAAGTGTAAGTGGCAACAGTCATGAAACCCATTGGGAAGAGTGACCTATTATGAGAATAAAGCAAGCAGAAGGGGAACAAAAAGTGCTACTTTGAACACACTGGAGGAATAGTGGGGAACATATGTAAATAAAAATGAATAACAAGTATTTATATGCAAAGACATACTTTTCTCCTGCAAAACAATGTAAAGAGGATTCCAGTAAAAAAAATAATGAGAAATTATTCTGTCTATCTATCTATCTATCTATCTATCTATCTATCTATCTATCTATCTATCTATCTATCATCTATCTATCAGTGGATGCTTAGATTAATACAAAAGAAAGTCATCCAACTGTAGGTCAGTGTCTTCAGGACATCAAAGGACATACACACACCCTCAGCTGAATTTTGAAACTTATTTGAAGCCACAGGTTATTTTTGTAAAGTCAACAATATCTCCAAAAATATCAGTGGTCAGATCATAATGTTCAGGATTAACTTGCATTCCTAAATCATCTTCCATAGCAGGCCACGGGTGAAATTCAATCACAAAATTATTAGGACACAATAAACCAGGCCTGGGCAATTTTTTTTGCCCTGGGGTCGCATGGCTAGGAGGGCTGGGTTGGAGGGCTGGGTTAGGAGGGACGGGTCCATGAGGAGGTGGGGCGAGGGGCTGGAGAAGCAAGGGCAGGGGGGTAGCGCCAGATCACTCTCTGACTTTCCTCCCAGCATAAGGATAGATCACCCTCTGGCTTTCCTCCCAGCATAAGGATGGAGCTGCTTGCCCCATCCTTATGCTGTGAAGAGGCTGAGGCTCTGGAACTCCCTCATCTTCTGTCTGCCTCTCCCTTCTGCCAGAATCAAGATGGGGCCTCACTTCATCCTAACACCAGGAGGATAGGCAGGAGAAGGGTGGGGGGGGGGGGTTGGAGCTCCCTTGGCCCCTGTCTGCCTCTTCCCCCAGGCCAGGCTTCTCTCGGCATCAGGACGGGGCTATGCCTCTCCTGATGCCGGCCCTCCAAATTTTTCCCATCCTCTGGGCATAAGGATGTAGTGGCTTGCCATGTCCTTATGCCAAAAGAACAACAGAGGAAGGCATGTGGCAGCTGGGAGCCCTCTGGAGTGCTCTCATCCTGCTGCATGCCTTCCTTAACAATACCACCCACTTTAAACGAATTCACTAGACTTAACATGCTTCTCTCTTCCTGAACATTTCTGGTCATCTGTTTCAGGTGACTAGCATCATTTCAGTTCAAAATGAAGTCTGGAATCCAGAACATTTCCTCCAACATTCCTCAGAGCAGAAATCCACCACTGTGGCCAAGAAAGGGGGATTCGGCCTATACAATGTTCCAATACCATAAAATGGCATTGAAGTTTTAGAAATAGAGTTAGCACTATTTATTTTCATACTATTATTATTTACACATTAATAACTATCCCAATGAATTCTGAGATAAGAGTTGACACTAGTGAACACAGTATTTTTTTTAGAAGGAACAGTTCTAAGGAGATTTAGGATGTGATGTAAAAAAATCAACGTGAAATCATACTAGCTTCTAGCATACAGAAATGCTAAAAGCACTCTCATGGCCAATATAATTCTTTCAAAAATTAAAGTACTGTAATCGGTTTTAGGATTATAAACTGTTTAACATGAGCATGTAGACATGCAATGACTGTTCTATTGTATGTTGACTGCTCAAGAATATTCTGACAACATCAGAATCTGTCCCAAATGTAATGCATAAACAAAAGGCAACAGGAAATGCCAAGAGCTTCAGCCAATAAATTCCACTCAGTTTCCCAGTTTTGTTTCTTTTAGAAAAAGATCTTTAAATGAATTACTGGGAAATTTGGCTGCGCAAGAAACTCATGGGTCCACTACCCATCACTAAAAAGATAATTTATTTATCTGATTTTAACTTCTCTTCCTCTATTTTAAAAAAGTTATGCAATCCTACTGCCACTGAAAAATTAAAGCAATGTGGTCTTTGAATCCAATATTTGACCTGGGTATGAAATCTGGAGATAAATACCTGCAATACTAACAACAGAGTAAAATTTGACATAAAGATAAGGCAATTTGAGTAAAATGCATATACAAAACTTTATAGGAACTCACAACTCCATTTTGTTTTTTGTTTTTTTCAGAACTTTTAGAAAGTGCTTCATTTTCAAAATAATCCATTTGAAAAGTGTCTGCTGTTATCTTTAGGAGGCAGTTATTGCCTTTACACTGGTAGCTTTTACTTTTCTTAAATGGGAAATAAGATATTTTATTCTGGAAAAGTGCTAACACAGAATAAAACTGTCCTTCATTCATATGTGCAAAAACATGGCAATTTGATTAGATCAAGGATTTTGAAAAAATACAATTAATTTTTCCATGCTAGATTGTAAATATTATCTATTCCTAGATGTATCACAGAGAGGAAATATTTGATTAATTCAAAATACGTTTCTTGTGATAAAAATAAAAGTTTAAACAACTCCAGTATCTGGTCAAATTTAAAGAGTTTATTCTGTGATTATTGCCATTCATGTCAAGAGTTTAATATGACCATCATATGCAAAGGAAGTAATCAAGCTGAAGCCTACCATGGCTACAGAGATGTTAGATATCCTAGTAGTAAGTGCTGGGAGGACTACGGCCAAAAAAGAGAAGATGGAAGTGTGTGCACATTCAAGTAAACCTCAGAGTTTTCAGAAGAAGAAAAATGGAGAAGGGAAAATTCTTCCAACAGCTTCCATAATGATGGGTGTGCTTTATCACTACAGAACAAAGAAGGATAGTTGAGTGAAAAGCAGAACTAGTGGTGGTGTAGAGAGAAGAATGAGATAGTCAAAGGAAATGATTTTCTTCAAGGCAGTTTATTGCCCTGTCAAAGTTCTTCCTAACGTTTAGGTGAAAACTCTTGTCTTGTAATTTGAATCTACTGGTTCATATTCTAGTTCTAGATCAAAATGGAAGTCATGTAAGCAATCATTTTATTTCTCATATACTAGCAGGTGGAGATAAAAACAATTAAGCAGCCATCTTACTTGGCATTCAACCCATCAAAACCCTGGAGCCATGGAAGATATACCCTAAGAATTACATTAGAAGATATACTCTAAGAATTACAGCATTTTGATCCCAGGAATATGTTTCAGTGCCCAGAAATGAATGGAGTGTTGTCCTTTCCAATAAAATTACAACCCTGCTGCTAGGAAGAAATGGAGTCAGGAATTCTTGACTGTCTACAAATAGATCTGGATCTCCTTTATACTCATTCTCTTTGCAAATGAATGTAAGGCAGGGTCTTGTGGTACAGCATAAATGAATGCCTTAAACGTCATAGCATTCTGCATCTGTTTCTATGGAGAATCAACGATAAAGACTTTCTCCCTTATGACGGGAGTAAGATATTTAATTTTTGTAAGATTTCTGTCTAATACTGTAGACATCTGTATTATGCTGGTTCCGTTATACATGAAGAGTCCCTTGATGGTGAAGTCAAAAGCCACAGTGGACCAGATTGCCCCCATTGAGCATTTTCTTTCGACTGTAGCTTTATTTAGTATTTTTATTTTATATAAAGGAAAATCTCATGGCTGAAGCTTTCTTGGCTTTGCATAATTCTCAGTCTTTCAAAACAAAGCTGATTAAAAGTGCTTGGGAGGAAAACTATATTCCATA